AATCAGGTGTTATTTTGGTGTCATTGGTCCTGTTAAGGCATGAATAACTGCCAGAGCAGATTTTATTTAGTTGGGTGCAGAACATCTGGAAATTTTTTATATTTTTCACAAATATCGGAGGAGGCTTTGGTTCTCTGGGTATTGCTGCAGACTCCATTACTTCTCTGTCATTTTGAAGCACTTGGTAGGGGTTTGGAGTAAAGAAAGGTGATTCTTCAATCGTTTCTTGTGCAGACGTACCTGGTTGGGGCTGAGGTTCTGGTTCTGAAGTGTTCATTTTGGTCACTGGAGGTATTTCTCGAAGGCAGCGACGAGTCCTTTGTTTGGCTGGTGAGCTAACTCCGTCTGACCGAGACCTCTTGGGCACCTTACTGGCCATCACTTGCTGATCATACCGCATATCATAAGAGAAAAATAAATAAATAAATAAAAAAAAAAAAAAGAAATTTTTTTTTTTTTTTCTTAAAATAACAAAAAAAAAGATGCCAACAGTAAATATCAACTGCTCAGATATACACTTTAACTGTATCACGTGAATAATCAGAGAGATTCCGCTATAAAATTGGTAAAAACTGAGAGAGGAGTTGAGGAGACAACCTTCTCATCAGCTGATCCACTGCCTTCCCGTTAAACTTAATAAGTTTTAAGGTACAGGTTTTCAAATTTTTGAAAATTTGTCGAACTTCTAAAATTTAATTTACTTTTCATAACAAAAAAAAAAAAAAAAAAAAAATTAAAAACTTTTCATGCTTGATCATATGCAGTTGTCATTATATCTCCAATAACCAGTCTTATAAGATTCAGTGAAGTAAATTTTTTATTCATTATAACATTTTGAAGAAGGGGTGAGGGATGGGGAAAGATTTGTTTTTTTCCTAAATTTTATCACTATTATTTTAATTAGTTCCAAATTCATTATTTAATAATCACTCATTTTTGGTTAATTATTTTCAATAATCAACCATTGTGATTGACCAACAAAAAAAACTTAACCCCCTCTTGAAATTTGAGGTTTCACGTCTCAGGATGCGTAGAATTCGAAAAACGAATAAATAATTTTTTGTCCGTCCGCGCATTTTCTCCGAAACTACTGGACCGATTTTTTTCAAATTTTGATATAAAATCAGAAGTCACCTGACGATGATCCTCCTTCATCGACATTACTATCCGCCTTTTACTTTCAAAATGGCGGCCGAAAAACCTGCGTTGCTATAGACTGTAGCTCCTAAACGAATGTACAGATTTCAATGAAACTTAGCTAAAGTCATTTTCTTGACGCCCTTTAAATTTATCTAGATGACATACTTCAACGAAAAGAAGCTGGGAAAAAAGTTACGAGGGATGGTAAAATAAAATTCCGAATAACTCGAAAAGTTTGAACTTTTTTGTTGATATTGTATATATGTTCTACCCCAAATGTTATATCCTTGCTTTGGTTTTTAAATTTTGAATGTGTTACTCAACTAATGCTATTTTTTTTTTAGCATATTACTAATGATTAAAAAAAAAAGGTTAGTCCAATAATTGGAATCACCTTTTGTTTATTTTTCTTTGTAACTCGGAAGGTAATTTTACTTTAGATGTATAATTGTTTGGAAATAATAAACCATTATGAAGTAATTTGCAGCGTTTTTTTTTTTTTTTTTTTTTTGTTTACTACTCCCTATTTCAAGATCTGACGTATAGTGGTGGGGTTGTACTAGAGGCACCATGAAACATATTCTAACCAGAGGGGGTAGGGTTCGATATTCATTCCACGAGTCCTCAACAAAATATCATTAAAAGTAATTGTGAAAAATAATGCTGTGGTCTGTAGACTATTTAACTTTGTGAGGTAAAATCTAAAATCTGCTTTAAATAACGAGAAATTTCTAACTCCCGCCCCAAAGTGGGTATTCAGCCTATACATCTCAGACTTCCCTTCCATTCCTTCAGTAGAAAACTCCCAATATGCAGATCTATAACTATTTTATTTACGAAAACTCTTGGAATTGGAGCGTATTTACTCTGGAGAGGAGCAAACTTTGTCTATTTGATTAGGTATTAAAAACTGGTAAATATTCATTTGCTTTCTACGTGAATCGTAAGATAATTTGACCACAATATCGAGAAAAAATGCCCTACATAAATATTGGGCCGTTTGTCCTATACAACCTCGTTATTTTGAAAATTTGGGGGTGTAGATCACGCCAAACGGCTCAATATATTTGAAGGCCACCTTTTTTCAAGATTTTGTGATCAAATTATCTTACGATCTAAGTAAAGAGCAAATGAGTATTTACGAGTTTTTAATATCTAATTAAATAAACAATGTTTGCCCCCTCCAGATTGAAAATGCCCCAGTTCCAAGAGATTTCGTAAATAAAATAATTGTAGGTTGCGATGAGATAAAACTATTTACGAAGTTTCAGACGGATGTTAATAATTCGATAAAAAGGGGTCTGAACCACGGACTATAATATACATATAAAAGAAGTAAAGATCCCTTGGTCTAAATCCGTGGAATAGATCTCTGAATTTCACCCAACTTGTTAATAGCAAGTGCAAAAGCAAAAAAACATGATCACCATATTTCAATAGATATTTAAAATTTTGGAATTCCCTCCCGATCAAAATTCGGCATGCCCCCTCTTTACACATTCAAAAACCTCCTATTCCAATCCCTGTTCCAAGAATAGTCAGATACCAGCTAACTATTAATAATATATATATGTCTTGTTGTAGCAATCATATGATAATACTTGGTAAGAGATAGTACATGCATTTTCTACTATCGACGTAGGAATTTCAATACATACGTTTTTTTTTTTTTATTCAATTATAATTAACTTTATATATATATATATATATATATATATATATATATATATATATATATATATATGTATATATATGTATATATATACAAGTAAAGTTTTTTTTATGAAATGAACTTATTCTATCTCTTTTTAGTTCTTCATTTCTCAAAATGTATGTTTATGTTGTTTAACCCTTATCACTAGCGGATCCAGGATTTAATTTTGGAGGGGCTTCAGCCAGAAAGATTTTTTTTTCATATACATTTAACAATAATTAATTAGAGAAAAGAAAGAAAGAAATTAACTACATATATGAAATGGTGTGTAAGTGGTTCTTGAAGTCCTATTAAATGTAATTACACGAACAAGAATACTTCAAGAGATAGTTTTTTTCTGTAAAACATAGTAATATTTTACCATTTTGGGAGGGGGGCTTCAGCCCGAAAGCCCCTCTCCCCCCGTAGATCCGCCTGTGACCCTTATATATCGTTTTGTTCATAGTTCCAAGTGATTGGTTCATAGTTTAAACTGTTTTGTTCATAGTTTCTATTGTATTGAATATTCTATAAGAATATTCTATTCTTTTGTAAGATTTTGTTATTCTAAAGATACTTAGTCCCAGAATAAAGTTTAAAAAGGTTTTATTTTTTTATTTTTTATTAAACGCCGTTGGCTATTAGGCCATTCGGCTCCTGGCAGCCCAATACAACTCCACCATAAATCGTTTTCCATACATCTAACTGTACAGCCTCCAATTTATCATTCTCTTCCATCCTCTTTTTAATTGAAAAGGTTACCTTGAGAGATGATTTAGCAGCGACAATTATTCCTGATGCAACCTGCCTGGATCTCTGCAGTTTATAAGTTTGATATCCCGGCAATTGGTAGAACTGGATATTTTCAGTGGATGAGCCAGCTTCTACGATCCCATATAAATCAGAATCCTCCTTTGTAATAATCGTCTTCCATTCTGTGAATTTGTCAGCAGTTAGGCCACCAGCGTTCCTGAACATAGCCATAAGCTGTGTGTTGACTGGGCCTTTTGGTTTCCTTAATTTTGATGGATTCATAATTTTTTGTGAATTCTATGTTGTTGAACTGTCTTCGCGGCGACAATATTGCTCATTTAGTTCAAAGACAAAGACATCTTTGAAACGGTATACACACAGACGGACTAAACACTTACTATTAACATCTAAATAAATCTGTTTATTTATGAAAATTTAACGAATTCATATCTCATTAACAAACAAGTAGCAATAAACTCTCTCACTCCAATTAATAAATAATAATCATAAGATGTGTATGTTTATGTATATACGTGTGCGCGTATGTGTGTGCGTGTCTGAGTCGGAAGCACTTTCACCATGCCCAAAAGGATTAGCATCAGCTTGTTAGATTGAAAAATCGCTTAAAATACCCCGGCCTTTTCAGCACTTGTTTTCGGACTACAAGCAAAAGAAGGGGATGAAATTAGGTAAAAATGATAATATAAAATTTTCCACTTATTTCTAATAATCCTCTAATTTTTATTCTTGTTGAACGAGCAATTTTTTAAGAGTAGTCCTTTTATAATATGTTTACGGCCCCGCATGCCAAAGTAGCGAAGGAATTAATATAGCACCATACTCACGATCCCTATCAATATCGCGATAACATAAGTAGCTGATATGACTGTTGGGAATAATTGAAGAAAAGAGTAAATAATAAAGAGAATAAAATAAATAAATATAATTATTTATTTATACTATTTTTTTTTACTGATCACCCCTACCATTCTTCTCTTAAATTATAATTATAAATCAGCACAAAACACACACACACACACATATGTATATATATATATATTACAATGTTTTTTTATAATTCGACCTTTATATATTATTATACATTGTAATTCGTGTGTATTTCAAGACCTACTATCCGACTATAATTCATATCTTAAGTTATAATATATATATATATATATATATATATATATATATATATATATATATATATATATAAATTTAAAATATTTTATTGTAAAAGAGGTTACGTATAGAGGAAAGTTTTACTGAAAGAGATAAATTTAATAACCGCCGTGTCGTTAACGAGTTATCAAGTAAATATATATAGAGTGAGGGACGTTCTAATGTAACAGTTCCCTTTAGTTTACGAAATGAATCGCTTAATCTTATTTAAAATTTTCTTTAGTATTAGCGGCTATATTTGTCATGCTTTTCTTAACCCATACCCAAAATTTAGATCCATCGCGTCCACTGGGGATGCTGGTGACCCGCTCTTCCTGACGCCTTACATCGAAGAAGGTAGGATCCAAGAAGGACAGGAGGCAGCGAAGGTAAAACTGCCTGGTACCAACGTCACCAGCTACAGTGGCTACCTCACCGTCAACAAGACCTTCAACTCCAATCTCTTCTTCTGGTACTTCCCTTCTGAGGCCGACCCGAAGAACGCTCCCGTAGTTCTTTGGCTCCAAGGAGGGCCTGGAGCTTCTTCTCTTTTTGGGCTTTTCTGTGAAAATGGTCCATTCTCCGTTGATAAAAGCCTAGCTTTAGCAGAACGCAAATACTATTGGTCACAATTATTTAACGTAATATACATCGATAACCCAGTCGGAACAGGATTCAGCTTTACTGAAAGTGATTCGGAATATGCAACTGATGAAGTCAAGGTAGGGAAGGATCTTTACTCTGCTTTATCACAGTTCTTCCAGCTTTTCCCAGACTTGCAGAAGAACGATTTCTTCGTCAGTGGTGAGTCTTACGCTGGGAAGTACATCCCCGCAATAGGTTATACCATCCACAACAACAACAAAGTAAACAGACAGAAGATCAACTTGAAAGGACTAGCGATAGGTGACGGGTATACTGATCCGGAGAACATGATGGTATACGCGGATTATTTGTATCAACTTGGCCTTGTGGATTCTAATGCCAGGGAAGAACTTAGAAATTTACAAAAGGAAACAGTAGAATTAATTAGGCAACATAATTATTCTGAGGCAAGAGTTGTGTCTAATCAAGTTTTGTATTCGTTAAGCCCTCAAATAAACGTGTATAACTACCTTCAAAGCGGCTCCTTTGACCCAGAAGGCCCCTACAGTGATTATCTACAAACTGACGGGGTCAGGAAAGGCATCCACGTCGGTAATCGCACGTACAATGGCGGTTCTACAGTCGGACGGTATCTTGCGAATGACGTCATGCAATCAGTCAAACCATGGGTGGAAGTATTATTAGAAAATTACCGAGTAATGTTTTATAGCGGCCAATTGGACATAATCGTCGCGTACCCACTGACGATGAACTTCCTGCCCAAACTGAACTGGACGGGCTCTGAGGACTACAAAACTGCACCGAGGAAGGAATGGAAGGTAGACGATGAACTGGCTGGGTTCTACAAGAATGCCAAAACGTTAACAGAAGTTCTGGTCAGAGATGCAGGACACATGGTGCCTCAGGATCAGCCGAAATGGGCCCTTGATTTGATAGCCCGATTCGTTCACAATAAGTTTAGTTAATCCTACAATTTTGACACCTGATTATTGATATCTATTTATGTTGTGATAATGATAAGTATTCGTGCTATAAATTGGTTGCCTTCAAAAATAATAGCGATTAATTTTTTATAAATAAAAATATTTTAAAATGAAATTCAGATTATTTATTTTTCAATGAATAGTTTATATTGTCATAAACATACATTGATGATATGTTTAACTATTTAATTATTATAGTGACAGAATTATTTATAAAAATATTAGCTTCTTTACCTTTCCTATTGGTTCCATAATTAACTATATTTCGAAGTTCTTGATTTGTCTTTTGAGAATAAAATCTACAGGAGAACCCATTTCTAAAAGTAGCTATGGTAAAAAAAAACAGAAAAAAAAAACGAACAGCTAAACGAAAGATGTAAACGGAATTTGACAATCGATAAACGACCATCTAAATATCAACCTTAACAATCCTCGACAATTTCATCAAATCGAAATAATGACAGTAACTGTTATGTCCAGTTTAATAGACATAAACACAAAATACCTCTATATAGCAGGAATAGAAACAAACTGCAAACTATGAACGAAGAATTTTAAGAAGATGATTCGATTCACGTCCATACAATAAATAAATAAATTTTAACCCGCCCAGCCCGGATTCTAACCAGCGCTGCTAGACTCGAGAATGTTATAGCGGACAATAGCTCAACACGCTCGGCTTGTCATAGGCCCTTCTTGTATTGTATCTTTTAACTAAGAATTTACAAACACTGATTGATGTAATATGTATTTTATTTCAATATTAATTACCACACAATACGTAGGTTATTTCCAAAGAGATAACTTTGATTGCTCTCGGATCGTTGACATGTTATCAATAATATACATTTATAGATTTACATATATATAAAGAGCAGTATCTTTTAAATAAACAGTTCCCTGCAGTCAACGAAATAAGTCGGTTAGTTTTATTTATTTTTTTCTGTAGCACTGTCAGCTATGTTTCTTGTTCTCCTCTCAACATGGACCCGAAGATTCAATCCATCTCGACCAATAGTAATGTAGAAGATCCACTCATCCTGACACAGTCCATCGAAGAAGTCAAGATAAATGAAGAACTACCCGGCACCAACATGACTTGTTACAGTGCTTGGAAAATCATTCTCATTTTGATAGATCTAGCTTTAATAAGTTTCTCTTAATATATTCTATTCGATCTTTATTTCAATATATGACATACATGTTTCACCAATAAAGCAGTTGTTTGGACTCAAATTGCTATATATATTTCCATTTTTTTCTGATTCTCCATTTTATTTTTCCAACAATCACATATATAAGTACATGCAGTTCAATATATGGATATATCTTTGTCCTTGCTCTGTGTTATGGCATTTTAAGGAAAGGAGTGGGAACAGATTTGGAAATTGTGGGAGGAGCTCGTGTTACAATCAATGGACTGGGAGGGACCGCTCTGCTAGATTATTGTATTTACATCCACCAGAGGGAGTGTTCCTTGCCACCTCCCAGGTCAGGATGGAAGGGAAATATCTTTGAACGGTCGCAGTCGGGTTGGGGGCGCTTTCTGGGGCCTCAGATACCCAGCAACCTTAACAATTTATAAGGGAGTGATTCTGGGTATCATGAGGTATGCGTCACCCGCCTGGAACCAGAACCTCTCGCACCGACAGAAGAGTAAGTTGGCGACAATACAGCGAACGGCATTGCTGCGGGTCACCACGGCATATCGAAGCGTATCCCATGAGGCGGTGCAGGTATTAGCATGAGGGGTACCTCTCGACCTTCTCCTGCGAGAAGATATGATGAAGCACATGTTTAAGAAAAACGGCTCAGCAGGTCGACCGGAATCCTTGCAAATGGAAAAACATTATACGGAACGACACATTAGAGGAATGGAACCGGCGGTGGGTGATAATCCCCAAAGGATCTACCTTGAGGAAGTACTTCCCCACCGTCCGGTCACGTTTAGAAGCAAGGTGGATCGTCCCGGACTATTGGCTCTCGCAATTTCTCACAGGCCATGGGGGCTTTCGAGCAAAGCTTCATTGCCATGGGATGGACATCGACACCCTATGCCCTAGCTGCGGTGTTCCGGAGACTGCTGAGCACATCATAGTGGACTGCACCGCCTTTCAAGAACTAAGGGCTAAGTTACTGAGGGAAACCGGTCTCTACATTCTCACAGAGAACGATTTTCCTCAGTTAGTCAATGCGGAAAACTACCCGTACTACAAAGATTTTGTGTACGGGTGGAAAGTCGCGGTGGGGCAAGCCCATTTTAATTTAAGAAGAGGAGGAAGAGGTACTATACCATTGGCGGGAAACGGATGAGAAAAGCAACCATGAAGAAAGAGGAAAAAAATGAAGAAAGAGCAGAAGAACAAGATTCATTTGCAGCAGTGAGATGTTAAGCTGACCTGCCTAACATCTTACTATTGCAGACACCCGTATTGCCTAATAGGCACGGCAGGGTTGATAAATAAATAAAATAAATCCTGGAATAATGGGTCAGCAAAGGCCCTCAGCACATCAAAAAACTTGATGTGCCTCCGGACTATGAACTCAGGTACTGAGAGGAGCACTTCTCGGAGCTAATCATTGTTAGCCCTTTGTAGGGTGATGTCACGAACGATTCGCCGAAGGACAGAAGCTCTGCAGAGTTCTTCTTCTCCATTCTTCGCTCTATACGACTAGAAATTAAATTACGGCCAGAAATTAAAAAAACAAAATTATTGGTCATCCTTAGGTCTTCCTGACTTCGGAACAGCTTGGTCCCAAGGTCTGTAGGTTGGGGCCATATCTGCTTCCATAAACCCTCCAAAGTTCTACAGAACATGCTCTGTGGTTTGTTTATTTTGGCCACATTCACACAGGATTAAAGTCCTATCTTTAATTTCCTGAAGAGATGAGATTTAAGGCGGTTATGTCCCCATTGTATCTCTAGGAGGATCTCTTTACCTCAGGGTCGCTCCACGGCTGATGAAACACAATAAATAATTTTTCTACCATGAGCTGGGATTCAAACCTGGGATCTTGAACGTTGGAAAATCAGTGCCCAGCCAATGAACTACCACACTCCTCAAGAAAAATGTATGAAAAATGAGCGTTAATATTTTGATTAAAAATGTTTTGATTTCATAATGATGTTTTACTTTCCTGTGAAAACTGACATTTCATATTAAAGAATCTAATATATTTTATCCAAATTTCTTCTAACTGTGTTTGGTCAATCCTCATGAGCCGTATCAATCAGGTCAGTCAAGGAAAATACGTTTACGCATCCGTAAGCGAAAGTAGAGGATGAAATTAATAAGATATCATTCTTTCACCAATATTCAATACGCCTCCAACTTTGAGCTTAATAAAACGAGCCACACTTTATGTATATTACATTATTTTTATGGCTGCGCAAGGAGAAGTAGTGAAGGTATTTTGGAGGAATTGATATAGGATCATATACTTGGCAACCCTCGCAACCCCTAAAAATTTCATCAATATTGGAATAACGGTAGTAGATGTTATGCCCGTAACATGGATTATATATAGCTAACATCATTATCTCTCTATCAGTAGTCTGTATATCTTAAGTAGTCTGTATAGCTGTACCTTAAGTACTCTGTATGATTGGCCACATCGTTGGTTAAGCTCTTGTCTTTTAAGCCTGGTATGTGGGTTCCATGTTAGTCTTTTATCTGAAAAAAATCCTAGATACCGAACTGTGTCTGAGATGGGAAGCGGTACTGAGTTCAAAATAATATGTAATCAGGATCTGCATCGGAGGGTAAAGGTGACATGCTTGGGTTTGGATTCATTGATTTTGATGCGCCAATTATTGCACCACTGCTCAATTAGGGAGATGTGTCTTTGAAGGTTTAGGGATGCTGTTTCAGGGTCTGGTTGGGATGGCGGTATTGTCAGCAAATGTTGCTAGAAGAACATCAGGACTTGTTGGGATGTCAGCTGTGAAAAGGATGTAGAGAAGTGGGACTAAGGCACTGCCTTGTGGAGCACCAGCCTCAACTGGATAATAATTAGAGAATTCTGTGCCGCATCTGACTTGAAAGGAACGATTTGAAAGGTAGGATTTGAGGACTAGGTAAAAGAACTGGGGTAAGTGGGTTCTAGGCTTGAAAAACAAGCAACCGTGCCACACTCGGTCGAAATCTTGCGCTACGTCCAGAAAGGCACTAGTGTAATATTGCTTGTTTTTCAACCGCAGAGGATAAATAGTCAACAACGCTATGGCCTTGTTGAACAGTGGAATGTCTTGAGCGGAATTCAAACTGATGGGAAAGGTATTGTGGGTTTCGAGAATGGGTAGGATACGTTTGAGAAAGATTTTTGAGAGGATTGGGATCAAGCTTATTGGTATTTAGGATGAGGTATTATTAACAGTGTTGACGCCAACATGTGTAATTTTATTGTTTGTTTTTGCCATATCATAATATGGGGGGTCCATTTTGTTTTGATTGTGAATAGCATATACTATGTATTTTGTTTGTGTTTTTGTTTTCGTATCATTATATGGAAAGTGTTTTTATTTACATGTAGGCCTTTATTTGTTTATATATAAAGTTGCATTGGATATTGTACGTGGAGGCCCTTGGGTGTTTCGTACACAAAGACGTCCCAGCGACGATGTTTTCGTCCAGTTCCGGGTCAGCCCGCCTCTCGTCGTATCACTTAATACCGAAGGCAAAAAGAAAACATTGGAAAATTAGTATGGCTGCTGGCAGCAATGGGTGTGGAACTTATCCTATGATGTTCTCCGTCCCGTCACAATGTACCTGGCAAACTCAATGGTTCCATCTCACCAGGTGGTGGCGGCGACTTCCCGCCTCTGGGGCATTATCCTGCAGGAGAACTCTCGTCAGCTGCAACACGTAATATGAGCGGCTGAAGATTGCATTTTATTTTAATGTATAAACAGTTTTAAGGTGAGTGGCGCCCCTCTAAAACATTAATGACCCCACGGGTCTCAGATGTTATCATCAGGAATTAAAACCATTATTTTATCAATTAAACACATCACAATGAGGTTGAACTCTGTCTTATATACTACTTTTTGCAATGCCACTTCAGAGCACTTAATAGTGTAATGGCTAGTATCTTACTTTACAATACTAAATTGTCAGGTTCAGTACCGGGTTTTCATCATTCTCTTTTTTTTGTATATTAAATATTATAATTTTAGATTTATATAAATATAAATTATGGCCTTGTGTAATATAATTTTAAAACAATTAAATTAACATCTGGATTAATTGAATTTTCATTAAATAATAATAATTAATTATTTTAATAACAAAACATCCCTAGAACATTGTAAATTTAACTCATCAGTTTGATGTTGTTTTCCTTTTGTTTAATGTTTATAATAATATTTTATTTCTTTCATTCATTATTATTTTGTATCAAGAGAAATAGTATTAATTTATTATTTCATGTATTAATTTGTAGCATTAATTATTATTTTCAATATATTTATATTTTCTGCTATTTCGTTTTTTATACATATTTATCCTCAATGGATTACTTTTTAATATTTTTAAAGATTTAAAATTAATTAATTAATAAATCAATAACCAGTGCCTATAGATTTGATAGAGCAGAGTTGGTGGTTCACTTTTTGAACGCCCGCTGCCTACACAAACAGGTTTACCTGGTTTAGGGAGGATGGTGATTATGGAGTATTTCCATATCAGAGGACAGTGTGTTGTGCGGAGGGTACAGTTATATAGGTGTGTGAGGAATATAATTGATTTTTCGGGAAGTTGTCTAAGGATCTGGGAAGTAAGAAGGTCGTGTCCAGGGGATTTTCGAGGTTTCAAATTGTTTATAAAGAATTTAACAGGAGGCAAAGAGAGAGGAATCGGAGACAAACTCTCTATTAAATGAAAAAGTTCATAGTGACTGTCATATTTCATTTTAAATATACAAAAGAGGCCGAACAGTAACGAAGAAGACAAACTTCTTATTCCCAACCAATTTAACACACTAATCAAAGGATATAATGGAATAACTTACAAAAACAAACCTTTAAATTATAACCTATGCATGATATTTACAATAACAGTAACACAATGTACATTATTTACAAACAAATATGGAGGTTGGTCAGCAGCACAGTGGTTGAAAATTGACAAAAAAAACCTTCCAATTGCGATCAACAAGTCACAGAAAAATAGATTTAATACTATCATAATTACAACTACATATGGTATGAAATATATGTAGTAGTACTTCGCTTAACCGGCTCTCCGGATTAATCGGTGGTAAAAAAGAACAACGCAGAAAAATTAATTTTTATTTCTCTCAGAATAGACTAGTTTCAGGTAACTAAATTATTGAAACAAACGGGATAGTTGTTATTATAGCCAATCTTGATTTGTGAACTTATATTAAGAGCAAACTAATAAAACGAAAATTAACAAATAGCAAAAATCTTGCTATAGTTATAAAGAAGATATTTTATTATGATTGATGAAAACCTTTAGGTTCGATTAAGCAAAAAATAAATAATTGACATACCATGTGAAGACTATTAAAAATCGTTTATAAACTAAAATTAAATCATATATGTTAAAGAAAATTAAATAATCACTTTAAATGCATCTTATATTTTTAATTTTAATTTTTACCGAATAATAGTTTTTCGGTAAAACACTGGATAATAGGCAAAGATTTTATTTTAACCGATCAAAACTCAATTCCGACTATGACGGATAAGCGAGGTTGGAATGTAAAAAGTTTTTAGAGTTGAAGTAGAATCTGAATAAAAAAAGAATGAAAAAAAAAAAAGAAAGTGAATCTATGAGGTATCTTTCTTTTTTAGAAAAAATTTGTTTATCGATTTTATAAATAACAACAGTTATTGATATTGATATTGATTTTGCGAGATGAAAGTTAGGGTTATTTAGAACTACTAATTAGCAAAAACTTATTGTATGAAATTATTTTTTAACAAGTAATTATTTTTAAAAATTAGAATAATTTAAATATTTACTAACTAATATATTACATGATAAGAATATGAGAGAGTTCCTCATTTTTATGCGAAATAAATAGAATCTGAAGAAACATTTTTTTAATTAATTTTTTTTTTATTTATATATATTTTTATTTTCACTTACCAATATATGTGATATATAGTTATGGAAAGTATTGCGATCGTGAAAATTTTCGAATCTCCCTTTTCAACGGGAATAGAAGTTTTGAGGTCCTCTGAGTCCAAATAACCAAGTCTCGCAAAATGGTCTGCGTGCGTGTGTGTACTAACAGTCTAGCTCAAAAATGAAAAGTCGTACGAAAGTGAAATTGCATATTTAAGATGTTATATATTAGGGATGTTACAGTAACTTTTTCGTTCAGCTGAACAAAATCGGCTGACCGGAAGTGGCACTTATATCATGGACTAAACACATTTTTACGATTTTCTCGAAAATGGCTCTAAAGATTTTGATTAAATTCATTATGTCACAAAAAAACTAAGCAATTTAAAATAAAATGTATTTTTCATTCTGATTAATGTCCTCTAACAGGGCTTAAATTGGCTAATTTTCAATATTAGCTTCCCCTATAGTATCTTTAATTTTTTTTATTTGAAACAATTAACCATTTCACAATAATCTCTAATATAAAGGTTAGTTAAATATAAAATATGAAAGAATTCGATAATTAACTAAAGGAGCAATAAGAGATCGGAAGGGAGAATAGTTCTAATTGAGGAACCAAAGGAATACGAAGGCACCCGAACTTGCCCGAAAAATTACAACACGCTTACATACGAACTCCGACAATTTTATATAAATATACATATGCAGTTTTCACAGATGCTATTGTTGGTATTATTTAATATTCAATTGTATAGATTACAGCGATATAAATATTAAAATTTGTATATATAAAGGTACTTATACAAATAAAAATACCCACCATGAAATATAAATAAATATAGCGTTTATAATGTTTCCTTTCACTTCTCCTTTGTCTGAAAATACTTATTTCTGCTAAGAAGACGGTGGTAAGTGAAAGTTGTGTGATGCATGCACAAGATTTTTAAACATCTTATTATATCTTATGGAATCTTTTTAGATAAAATAGGCAGATATATATCATATAAAAAAAACAAACAACAATAGAGTTTTGGTTTTTAATGCGAATAAATAAAACCTAACCAATTATTTTTTTTGTTGAAAAATGAATGGATATTTTTAGAGTTCAATGGCTAAGTTTAAATATAACAATTTTATTTTAGGGTCAATAATATTTTTATTCCAAACAGATACTGCTTGAAAAATAAGCGAATAAGTTCAATACAATTTACAAGATTAAATAAATTACAGACGCAGCTGTAAGAAATCCATGTTAGACCTGCGATAAAAAAGTTTTAACCAACAAAATATTTTTTTCCTATTTATTTTAGTACTTTTTCAAAATAATATAGTGGACTTGAAAGTACGAATAATTAATTTATTTTTTCACGCTGTATATTGTTTGGAATAGTTTTCATGATTATAAAAAAAAAAAATCGTACCAAACGTACTAAATGTGAGTGGCAATAATAAAAATAATGTCGAATAATTTTCGTCTTAAATAAAAAATTATTTCATGATCGGATTTGAAAGGCTCCTACGGCGTTTTAAAGGCTCCTAAAGCGTTGTAAGGTGTAACATATATATATATATATATATATATATATATATATATACACACACACACAAACACACACACACATATATATATATATATACATGAACAAATTTTATTATAAGTTGTTGGTTGTTAGAGAAATGTTTTCCTGAATGAGATAAATTTAACAACCGCCCGTGTCGTTAACGAGTTATCAAGTAAATATATATAGAGTGAGGGACGTTGTAATTTAACAGTTCCCTTTAGTCCACGAAATGAATCGCTTAATCTTATTTACTTTTTTGTTTAGTATTAGCGGCTATAGTTGTCATGCGTTTTTCAAGCCGTACCCAAAATTTCGATCGATCCCGTCCATTGAGGATGCAGGTGACCCGCTCTTCCTGACGCCTTACATCGAAGAAGGTAGGATACAAGAAGGACAGGAGGCAGCGAAGGTAAAACTGTCTGGTACCAACGTCACCAGCTACAGTGGCTACCTCACCGTCAACAAGACCTTCAACTCCAATCTCTTCTTCTGGTTCTTCCCTTCTGAAGCAGATCCGAAGAACGCGCCAGTAGTCCTTTGGCTTCAAGGTGGACCCGGAAGTTCTTCTCTATTTGGACTCTTCTGTGAAAATGGTCCATTCTCCGTTGATAAAAGCCTAGCTTTAGCAGAACGCAAATACTATTGGTCACAATTATTCAACGTAATTTATATCGATAATCCAGTCGGAACAGGGTTCAGCTTTACTGAAAGTGATTCGGAATATGCAACTGATGAAGTCAAGGTAGGGAAGGATCTTTACTCAGCTTTATCACAGTTCTTCCAGCTTTTCCCAGATTTGCAGAAGAACGATTTCTTCGTCAGTGGTGAGTCTTACGCTGGGAAGTACATCCCCTCAATAGGTTATACCATCCACAAGAACAACAAAATAAACAAACAGAAGATCAACTTGAAAGGACTAGCAATAGGGGACGGGTTTACTGATCCGGAGAACATGATGGTATATGCAGATTATCTTTATCAACTTGGTCTTGTGGACTTTAATACCAGGGAAGAACTTAGGAATTTACAAAATGAAGTAGTGGAATTAATTAGGAAACATCAGTATTCTGAGGCAGATAAAGCATGGAGTAATATTTTAGGTAGGTTAAGTCCTGAAATAAATATATATAACTACCTTCAGATGGACCGCTTCGATCCAGAAGGCATATTCAGTGATTATCTTCGGACTGACATCGTTAGGAAAAGCATTCACGTCGGTAAGCATATATTCCATGGTCAAGATTATTCAGTTTATAATTATCTTTTGAATGATAAAATGCAATCTGTCAAACCATGGGTCGAAGTATTATTAGAAAATTATCGAGTAATGTTTTATAGCGGCCAATTGGACATAATTGTCGCCTACCCCTTGACGATGAACTTCCTGCCCAAACTGAATTGGACGGGCTCCGAGGGCTACAAAACTGCACCGAGGAAGGAATGGGAGGTAGATGGTGAACTGGCTGGGTTCTACAAGAAGGCCAAAACGTTAACAGAAGTTCTGGTCCGAAATGCAGGGCACATGGTGCCTCAGGATCAGCCGAAATGGGCCCTCGACATGATAACTAGATTCATTAACAACACATTTGAATGATTTTTACAGGGTTCTACTTTCGTATATTTAAGAATTCTCTTGTGAGTGAAGATACTGTTGGCAACTTTCATTTCATTTGATATGCACAAGTTCAGCATCCTATCACCATTGTTGTTAAGTTGCTCTTCTCCGTAAACTCACAATACGTCTTTGAATAATTTCCCACTCTCCTGTTAAGGTTCCCCATCACTATCTTCTAGTTACGAATGAATTTTTCTCAGTGGCCATGGCATTTTCATTGGATCCATAACCAAGGAATAAAGTATAGCGTGTATCTCCGCCTTTTCCACTAGGACCCTATCACTAATTTTCCAGTCTCTGATTAGACGACAGATATTTTTATGGAAGATACATCTTACTCAACTTCTTCCATGCTCTTGGTAGTTTACTCCTGAGTACATAAGTATGTGTTCCCCTATATCTGTTTCCCCTATGCCTTTCTTACCTTTCTTGGTTTCCATAATTCCCAATATGTCTACTTTTGCCAACATTATCTCTTCAGCCAATTCCAATTCCTTCCCGTTTAGACATTCCAAGTACCCATTATTAAGTTCCCAAGTTTTCCACGCCGTGTCTTTTACCGTAATGACTGATCAACTCTATTTCTTCCTTGTCTTTTCATATGGGTTATTCTCGAGACAGCAGGGTATTGGCCTGCTGATCTCAAAGCCTAATGGAGGGATTGGCTCCTTAGAGTCTTTCAAGCTGGCCCTCTCTCTGCTTCACTGTTTTGATTATAGTAGCAGCTAATTACCTAAGACAGTGTATTATATTTTTATAATACAATATAATTATATTGTTTCGTATTGTATAATTTAACGAGATATTAACCGTCAAAGATCTTTATTCTCTTGCTATCGTTATTCGCGGTTCGAAAACTAAATTAGTATGTATTCATTTAACAGTTTCCTAACAAGATGTAAGTATTCGTCAACAAACAAGTCTTATTGCTGTTTGACAAATTGAAGCACTATGAATTTCAATAAAAGTTAAGGAGCTATGATCTTACTTAAAGTGTATTTTTTTCTTTTTTTAATTTATCTTGACCTGTATTACCCCGACGAAAGCGGGGTCAGTCGAGGGTATAGCCCCTGGGCCTGGATTCTGAATGAAGACCAGTACAAGATTTCGTTTCTTAACTTTTAAATTAAAATTAAAATAAAGCATAGATAACATGGCATATATTATATGATAATTATGCAATATTTTTACAAGATATGTCTGTTTCATACTTTGTAAAAGGCTTCGGCTAAGCGGTTAACTTATTGTTAGGGTTCTGTCTAGTGACAAACGTCCAAGACAACTTAGCCTATAGCATGTGCAAGCTGGTGCAACCTCTTTGGATCGAGAGATCGATCCTAGCCGCCTTTTGTTTTTTAGTACTAGTACAATTGTTAAACATGCTACATTGTTTTTTCTTGGTTTACTAGTTAATGAACATTAGTTATCATTATTGGTGGCCTGCATGCACAGTGTAGTGAGTGCTCACAGATTACAGTAGTTGTAATTTAGTAATTTATATTCAGTGTTAGTTATTGTAAAGCGATTTTTTTCAGTAGTGTACAAATTTTAGTTTAGTTTTATGATTTCTTGCTTTCTTATTTGTTTCTATATATTGCATGTGAATTCAGAGGTATGTTTTTATTTTCTAAGTTTGTTCTTACCAAAACATTTATTTTTTTGTATGTGTTTTTTTATTTGACCGGGCTCGGTCAGTATCAAGCCTCAACTCAAGAATGCACGTCTTGTTATTAAATATATGATTAAAGCTATTAATAAGTTTATATGTTGCCTTTCTTTCATCTACATTTAAGTTAATCGCCGTTAATTGTTGAATTTCAACTATGTTTTTTCTCATGTTAATACAGGTCTGCTTTAATTTAGAGACTGAAATAACATAACAGTAGATACACATTTCATGTTTTAATATCACGTAAAACAAATATTGTGATTTCTGCATGTTTAAAGTGTCATGTACAATATTTTACTCTTTTTGGGTTTCAACTGCACTGCTTTGCACGATTGAGTTTCACACTACACATTTTACAGTTTTTTATTGCATGAAAATCCGGTCTCTAGTGATGACTGTAGTACCGTAGAACGTTTTGCTGAAACAAAAAAAATTAATAACCGCCGTGACGTTAACGAGTTATCAATTAAATTTATAGAGTTTGAGAAGGTCAAATTTAACTGTTCCCTGCAGCCAACGGAATGAATCGAATTCTCTTATTAATTTGTATCTATTACACAAGCGACTATGTTTTTACTCTTATCTCAATCTATATCACAAGATTCGATCCATCCCAACCGATGGAGATGTAGGAGATGCGGTCTTCCTGACGCCTTACATCGAAGAGGAAAAGATGCAAGAAAGACAGGTTACAGCCAGAGTAAGTCAGCCAGGCACCAACGTCACCAGCTACAGTGGCTACCTCACCGTCAACAAGACCATCAACTCCAATCTCTTCTTCTGGTTCTTCCCTTCTGAGGCCGACTAAAGAGTCTAGCAATTGGTGACGGTTTAACTGATCCAGAGAACATGATGGTATATGCAAATTGTGTTTATCAAATTGGTCTTGTCGAATCTATTACCAGTAAGAAAAAAAGAAATTACAGGAAGGATTAATAAAAAATAATAATATTGATGATTATAAAAAAGCACATGAGGTCCGTGAAAAAATGCTTGAAATTTTTTTTACAATAAACAAAAAAATAAAGATTGTTATATTTCTAAACAAATAAAGTTCTGAAATTAGGAAACAAGTTCTTTGACCTTTGATTTTGACCTTCTGTCCCAAATTTTATGTTGTAATTTTATATTCACTTACCTATATATGTAATATAATAAAGTATTGCGATCGTAAAAATTTTTAAAAAATTTTCAACGGAAATATACGTTTTGAGGTACCATGAATCCAAATAACAAAGTCTCGCAAAATGGTCTGTGTGTGTATGTTAGCAGTCTGGCTCAAAAAGTCGTACGAAAATGATATTACGTATTTAAGATAGGTATATGCCTTAGATGTCACAGCAACGTTTTCATTAAAATCGGCTAACAGGAAGTGCCGCGTTATATCAACGCTGAAACACATTTTTACAATTTTCTCAAAAATAGCTCTTATACGATTTTGATTAAACCCATTGTATAGACTTTGGTGTCAGGTCTTATCCCCATTGATGTCACCTTACAGGACTTAAATGCCCAATGTTCATATACGTCTTCCTCTAAAGTACCTTTAATATGGTTTATTTTAAACAATTAACTATTTCTCATTATTAAGAGTTACGAAAAAATGCTAAATATAATATTTGAAAGAATTTGATAATTGAATAAAGGAGAAAAAATGAAAAATACATATCCAGGCCGAAAATGAATATTCGGAAATAAGAGTCAGAACGTATAAGTATAATATATCGTTGGAAAGCGGAGAATTAAAACACAATATCTAATATAGGAAGTTGAAGCAGGTAACAGAGAGTGGCGAAAAAAATATAAATAATAATTGCTAAAAACTAACATTATTTAATGTAAATTACAAGTTGTCTAGGAAATTGAATCAAATTTTCTTACTAATTGTATAATAATAATCATAAAAAGGCTTAGCGAACCCGAAGGTTCGATGCCGACACCACCAGTCGCTCATTGCACACCTCCCTCCATCGTTCGCCGTCCAAACCCAGTCCCTACAGATCGGCTTTAATGCAACCTTCGCTTCGGTCTACCCCTCGGACGCTTACCATTCGGCACAGCAAACATTAGCCTTTTAGGAATTCTCTCGTTACCAAGTCCAACAACTTTACAAGCCCATTTGATTCGCCGCGATGAAATTATCTCAATTATATTACTCGGATACAGTTCACACTATTCGGCGTTGTGTAACCGTCTGAACTCTCCGGTTAACTCATCCTTCTTCGGTCCGAATATTCTACGCAATACTTTATTTTCAAAAACCTTAAGACGCTGCTCATCCCTTAATGTAAGCGGCCAAGTTTCGCATCCATCAAAAACTGTAGGAAAGATAATTGTTTTATAGATTCTAATTTTTTAATTTCGGGACAACAGGCGCGAACTAAGTAGTTTTGTCACAGAAAAATAACAAGCATTTCCCGCCTTCAGTCTAACCTTAATTTCTTCTTCAATTTCGTTTTTTCTAGTTATCGTAGAACCTAGATACCTAAACTTATCTACCTGTTCAAACATATTACCATCTATATCGATATCACCAGTAGTATCGCCATTTTTGCAGCTAACCATATATTTTGTTTTATCCACGTTTATTTCGAGTCTTAGTTATTTGCAGGCTTTCATTAACGTTGTCGTATTTAGTTTTATAGTTTCAAGGTCTTCGCTTAACAGTACCAGATCATCCGCATAGCCCAGCACGGATGTTGTCCCACCCAGATCCAACCCTTTCTCGGTACGCATTACCTCCCTAATGGCATGTTCTAATGCCAAATTGAACAGAACAGGGGAAAGGGAATCCCCCTGATTTAAACCCGAACGAACCTCAAATTTACTAAATGTATACTTTTAAAATATTTTTTTCAAGTTTGAAAAAGTACTTAAAATCCACGGATTTAAGGCAATGCCACTGTTTAAGTTACTATTTATTTGTACTTGTGTGAAAGAAGAAGTGAAATATAAAAATATTTCATCGATACGTTTATAACCTTAAATATAATTACTGTAGCTAAATATCTCTCGATCTGATATTATATTTTAATAATTAGGTATCTATCGCCCGTTTATTCCGAAAAATCAAAATGTAACCTTTTAGAAAATTAAATTAGTGAATAATTTGATGAATTTTCCCTTTGTGATATTCCAACAGCGTCCACTTCCATTTATTGTGACAATCTTTGACTTGTCTATGACAAATAATGTAAATCTCTTAATTCCGTTTTAGTAAACTTTGCGATGGAAAATAATAACTAATCATCGTACAATCCATAATCAACGGATCGTGCAATCCATAATCAATCAGTGATATAATGAATAGGACTTTTGTTGTCTTAATGATATTTATGAATTTCGTAGATGTAAGCTTTTAGTTTTAGCTCTAGGTTAAAAATGCCATTCAAAAATTTTATAATAGCCCAACATAGCCAGAAAATAATTTCTATTCAAAGTTGAGCGGTAAGTGTAAGTTGTGTGTTGCCCGCACCAGATTTTAAATTTACATAGACATAACGATGAGCACGATAGAATAAGTACACACTATCAACGATTTTACACATACAAGCACTGTATAATATTTACAATTTTCATAAAAGTATTTGGTCTAATGAATTGTTTCATTACATCCTTCTTCGGGAATCCCAGAGGCCTCACGCTTTCAGTTATATACTGAGTTGCCACGTTCCGACGGCAATACTTTTTAGGTATCTGTCTTTTCCGATCCTTAAAGCAAATAAGTTTCCTTATATCCTCGATATATTCAATCCACGTTCCTTTGCCCTCTCTGATCCATAATCCTAAAATTTACAATTTTTGTAAAAGTTTCTTAGAAAATAAAATGTATACCTATAGGGAGTAAATCAAAAAATCTGGTGGGCGCAACAAACAGCTTTCACTTTGAATAGACATTATTTCATGGCAGTGTTGGACTCCTCGCGCGGGCTCATTACCGCGTATGGGGAGCGTCCCACGGGTGGCGGATGTGGGGATGGTCGGTGGAAATTCCTTGGAAGTTCCTCCCGGCTAAGTCCGATGGACTCGCTGACCAACAATGAGAGGGGCCCTCCAGACTTGCTGGAGGGAGGGGACCTCCAGACTTGCTGGAGGTAGGGGCCCACCAGACTTGCTGGAGGGTGTGACGTAGGATTGAACGCCCTACTCACATATCTTTAGTTCACCAAACACCACAAAAAGTCATGGATCTCCATAAGGTAAAACGCTCATTATCCGGAGGTAAACTAGTCCCCCGTTCGGGTCTCCGGGTGGGGACTGCTTTAGGGGATTCATGGCGCAAGTTGAAATATAGGGATTTAAATATTGGTACGTGGAACGTAAGGAGTTTAAACACAGCAGGGGGGCTAAAATCGGTCGCGAATGAGGTAAATGGGTACAATTTGGATGTCGTGGCTCTGCAAGAGGTTCGTTGGCCAGGGGAGGGCTCGATGAGGGAAGGGAAGTACACTATTTGGTACGGAGGAAGCGGGAATCATTGTTTAGGTACCGGGTTTCTAATTAGGCGTAGATTACTATCCGCTTTGAGGGACGTACAATTCTTTAGTGATAGAATTTCGGTAGCTATATTTCAGGGACGTTGGTTTAAAATCGCATTAATAAACATACATTGTCCGACCGAAGACAGTGACGATGAAGTCAAAAGTGAATTTTACGATAAACTCGAATGGGTTTATGATAAACTACCGCGAAACTACATGAAAATAATTGTAGGTGACGCGAACGCAAAGGTAGGAAGGGAAGAAGTTTATATTCCGACGATTGGTAAAGAAAGTTTGCACGAATATAGTAATGATAATGGGATCCGTCTGATAAACTTTGCCATCTCGAAAAACCTGATAATTAAAAGTACGACGTTTAAACATAAGGATATTAATAAATATACTTGGACATCACCGGATTCGCAAACACGAAATCAAATCGATCATGTCTTGATACAACACAGCTGGCAAAGCAGTATAATTAATGTACGGTCTTATCGCGGAGCAGAATGTGGGTCAGATCATGAATTAGTAATCACGAAACTTCGACAAAAACTTAATATAAAAAGTTTCGATTTTGAGAATTTTAATTTGGAAAAATTAAAAAATCCATCAATTAGAAACCAATTCGAGCTAGATGTTAAGAATAGGTTTGAAGCTTTAGAGCTTCCTGACGAGGACCACGAGGATATTGACAAGTTATGGATAGAGATCAGAGATACTATTAAAGCGGTCGGTAACTCGTGTCTAGGAAAAAAGGAAAATAAGAATAACAAACCGTGGTTTGATGAAGATTGCTTAAACATGTGTGAAAAAAGAAAAGCCGCTAAATTAAAAGCTCTAAATAATCCTAGCGAAGACAATCTGGAATACTTCCGAATCTCAAAGAACGAAACGACAAAATTGCTCAAAAATAAAAAAAGGGAGTATCTTAATAATAAAATAATTGAAATAGAAACTAATAGAATTGAAAATAACGTAAGAGAAATGTACAAAGGTATAAACAGATCACGTAAATATGTAGCGCCCGTAACGTCTGGAATTAGGGATGATAATAACAATATTCTGACCGATCCGGTTGACATATTGAATAAGTTTAAGGACCACTTTGACAATATTTTAAATACGGGAAATTATGATCTGTGTCCTCTTTCTGAGTACCAGAGTGCTGAACCATTAATAGAAGGACCAGTAAAGAGTTGAAGTAGCTATCGGAAAATTAAAATCATATAAAGCAGCGGGAATCGATAATATTCCTACTGAACTAATTAAGGCATGCGGGGAAGCTGGAGTTTCTAAAATACATCGGTTGGTTAAAAAGATCTGGGTGAACGATAAATTACCTGAAGAATGGAAAGAATCTATTCTTATTCCGATTCACAAAAAGGGCCCGAGGACGGATTGTAATAACTATCGAGGAATTTCACTCCTTCCGGTATGTTATAAAATATTCACTTTAATCTTAACCAGTCGAATCGTGGAATACGCCGAGGAAATTATCGGAGACTACCAATGCGGATTTAGACGGAATCGTTCGACTATTGATCAAATATTTTCTTTACGGCAAATCTTAGAGAAAAAATTGGAGTATAACGGCATTGTTCACCAGCTGTATATAGATTTTAAAAAGGCTTACGATTCTATTGACCGCCAGAAACTGTATAATATTCTAATCGAGCAGGGGATTCCAAAAAAACTAGTAAATCTAGTCAGGATGTGCTTGACGGAGACACTCAATAAAGTTAGAATCGGTAATAATTTGTCCGAAAAATTAGAGGTTCGTTCGGGCTTAGAACAGGGGGATTCTCTTTCGCCTGTCCTGTTCAATTTGGCATTAGAACATGCCATTAGGGAAGTAATGCGAACCGAGAAAGGGTTGGATCTGGGTGGGACAACATCCGTGCTGGGCTATGCTGATGATCTGGTACAGTTAAGCGAAGACGTTGAAACTATAAAACTAAATACGACAACGTTAATGAAAGCCGGTAAAGAACTAGGACTCGAAATAAACGTGGATAAAACAAAATATATGGTTAGCTGCAAAAATGGCGATACTACTGGTGATATCGATATAGATGGTAATATGTTTGAACAGGTAGATAAATTTAGGTATCTAGGTTCTACGATAACTAGAAACAACGAAATTGAAGAAGAGATTAAGGTTAGACTGAAGGCGGGGAATGCTTGTTATTTTTCTGTGACAAAACTACTTAGTTCGCGCCTCTTGTCCCGAAACTTAAAAATTAGAATCTATAAAACAATTATCTTGCCTACAGTCCTTTATGGATGCGAAACTTGGCCGCTTACATTAAGGGATGAGCAGCGTCTTAAGGTTTTTGAAAATAAAGTATTGGGTAGAATATTCGGACCGAAGAAGGATGAGTTAACCGGAGAGTTCAGACGGTTACACAACGCCGAATTGCGTGAGATGTATCCGAGTAATATAATTGAGGTAATTTCATCGCGGCGAATCAAATGGGCTTGTAAAGTTGTTGGGCTTAGTAACGAGAGAATTCCTAAAAGGTTAATATTTGCTGTGCCGAATGGTAAGCGTCCGAGGGGTAGACCGAAGCGAAGGTGGGAAGATTGCATTAAAGCCGATCTGAAGGGACTGGGTTTGGACGGCGAACGGTGGAGGGAGGTGTGTAACAAGCGATTGGTGGTGTCGGCATCGAACCTTCGGGTTCGCTAAGCCTTATTATTATTATTATTACAGTGTTGGACTATTGTAAGCTTTTTGAGTTAAAGCTTAAAGATTACAGATAACAAATCATTAAGGCCATTAAAATTATAAATATTTATTATTATCTCGACGGTACGAAATAAAAATTTAGTTACTCCATCTGCTTTTATTTCTTTATTATAACTTCAGTCTCTGAGCTTTTCAGTTGACAGAAAGACTAACTCCAATTTCGACATTTTTGAGTAATGTCATTTTAGTGATATTTCTAGTTGGTAAAGTTATATCGATTAAGACAGTGAGTAAGTTGATTCCAGAGTAGGTGATTGCAGTGTTGAAATATAGAACTGTGAATAATATTACTAGATGTATCACTCAAATTAATAATGAAGAATGTTGAAATTGGAGTTGGTCATTCTGTCAACCGAAGGGCTCATAAATGCCTACAGAGATTTGAAAGTACATCTGAATATTTAACCTATAAAATATTATCGATTGTAGGAATATTAGTTATTAAACTGTTATTTTCTATTGTAAAGCTTACTAAAATAAAATTATGATATTTTCATTGCCTGCCATAGACAGGTCAAAAGTTGTCACACTAATTGCAACTGGATAATATTGGGATTTGACAAAGGGAAAATTCATCAAATTATTCACTAATTTAACTTTCTAAAAGGTTATTTGATGATTTTTTTTTTTAATAAACGGCTAACAGATACCTAATTATTTAAATATAATATCATATCGAGAGTTATTAAACTACAGTAAACATATGTGAGGTTATAAATATATCCATAAAATATTTTTATATTTCACTTCTTCTTTAATACAAGTCCAATGAAATATTATTTTAAACAATGACATTGGCTTGATTCGATTGATTTTAAATACTTTTTTACTTTACTTAGGAAAAAATGCAAAAGCTTAGATTTAGTAAGAAAATTTCATTTAATTTCCTTGGAAACATGTGATTTAGGTTGAATAATGTTGATTTTCTTAAGTTATTATTTATAATTTGTTCGTCACTCTCTGTTAGCTTCTACAAATTTATTTATTTGATATTATTTTTTCTAAAATACTCCGCTTTCCAACAATATATTATATATGTATGCATTTTCAGAGATTCATTTTTAACCTGGTTAAGCATTTTTCTTTTTTTTCTCCAGTTTCCAATTATCATATCATTTCAAACTTCATATTTAGCCATTTTTTATAGTTACTGTCAACAAAAGAGACTTAGTTTTTAGGAAGTTAACTTTAGAGGACGTTATTAAAATAAACATTGGACATTTAAGCTCTGTAAATTGACATCAATGGAAATAAGACCTATATGATATTATAGACCACTTAATTATACAATGATACACCGAGTTTAATCAAAATCGTTAGAGCCGTTTTTGAGAAAATTGTAAAAATTTGTTTCACCGTTGATATAAAGTGACACTCCCGGTTAGCCGATTTTAACGAAAACGTTGCTACCACATCAGAACTATATAACAACCTTAAGTACGAAATTTAAGTTTCGTATGACTTTTCGTTTTTGAGCTAGACTGATACACACACACACACACACAGACCGTTTTGCGGGACTTGGTTATTTGGACTCAGGAGGTCTCAAAACGTCTACTTCCGTTGAAAACTCATATTCCTAAGTTGTCACGATTGCAATACTTTCCATTACTAAATATTACATATATAGGTAAGTTAAAGTAAAAATAAAAAATAAAACTGTTCACTGAAACCTAATTATTTTAATTCGACTTTTACATGACATGGTATATATTAAGTTTATAATTAAAAGTGACAATATGCATTGCAGTCTAAGACGTAATCGTTAACAAAGAAATCAGAGTTCGAAGAGCCATTTATCTTATCTTCCTCTCAATTTGATTATTACAACAATCGGCAAACCTTTTACAAAAATCGAATCTCATGTCTCATAAAAGATAAACTAGATAATTCAACCGCCTATATAAACAAATACACTATATTGTACAACAAAAGAGCACTTGTTAGTAAGTATACAAGGAATCAACGGTTACGTGTTGAGTTCAGGACGGTCGGAGAAGGTTTTTCTGAAAGAGATAAATGTAAAAATACAGCGTTGATAACGAGTTATCAACTGAATATATATAGAGTGACGGACGTTCTGCTTTAACAGTTCCCATCAGTCAATGAAATGAATCGCTTTGTTTTATTATTTTTTGTCTGTAGCATTAGCGGCTATGTTTCTTGTAATCTTCTCAATCCGTACCCGAAGATTCTATCCACAACAAGCAATGGCGATGTAGGAAACCCGCTCTTCCTGACTCCCTACATTGAAGGAGGTAAAATACAAGAAGGACAGGAGGCAGCAAAAGTAACTTTGCCAGGTACCAACGTCACCAGCTACACTGGCTACCTCACAGTCAACAAGACCTTCAATTCCAATCTCTTCTTCTGGTACTTCCCTTCTGAGGTGGACCCGAAGAATGCACCGGTAATCCTTTGGCTGCAAGGAGGACCCGGAGGTTCTTCTCTGTTCGGACTCTTCTGCGAAAATGGTCCATTATCCATTGACAAAAATCTAACTTTATCAGAACGCCAATACTACTGGTCGCGATTGTTCAACGTAATCTATATCGACAATCCAGTCGGAACAGGATTCAGCTTCACAGAGAATGATGCAGGATATGCAACTGACGAAGTAAAGGTAGGAAAAGATCTTTACTCAGCTTTACTACAGTTCTTCCAGCTGTTCCCAGATTTGCAGAAGAACGAATTTTTCGTTAGTGGCGAGTCTTATGCTGGGAAGTATATTCCCGCGATTGGTTACACGATTCACAATAACAACAAAGTAAACAAACAGAAAATCAACTTGAAAGGTTTAGCTATTGGTGATGGGTTTACTGATCCGGAGAACATGATGGTCTATTCAGATTATCTTTATCAGCTTGGATTAGTGGATTCTAATACCAGAGAAACACTTAGGCAAAAAGAAGCTAAAACGGTGGAACTGATTAAGCAAAATCAGTTCGAGGAGGCTATGGGTACTTGGGGAGGAATTCTATTTTCGATTAACCACAATATAAATGTGTACAACTATCTTCAAAGTGGTTCGTTTGACCCCCTGGGAGACTACAGTGTGTACCTTCAGACAGATGTCGTAAGAAAAAGCATACACGTCGGTAGTCGTATATACAACGACGGTTCCAAAGTGCAAGCTTATCTTAGCAATGATTTCATGCAATCGGTCAAACCCTGGGTGGAAGTATTATTAGAACATTATAGGGTAATGTTCTTTAGTGGCCAAGTGGACATAATCGTCGCCTACCCATTGACGATGAACTTCTTACCGAAACTTAATTGGACTGGTTCTGAATATTACCGAACTGCACCAAGGAAGGAATGGAAGGTAGATGGCGAACTGGCTGGGTTCTACAAGAAGGCCAAAATGTTAACAGAAGTTCTGGTCAGAGATGCAGGACACATGGTGCCTCAGGATCAGCCTAAATGGGCTTTCGACTTGATATCTCGATTCGTCTACAATAAATTTGAATAATCGTCAAATAATAATAATAATTGTTATTGATCTCAATCCTCGCAATTAAAATAAAATGTACAATTGTACCGTTAACAATAGAAACGAAATTATTGTTTATAATGTTTTAAACATGAGGAATTCATCATCATCAACAAAATTGCAGCTATTTTTTTTATTTTACTTTTTTATACGAAATATAATTGTAATCATCCCTTGTGTATTTGTATATTTTTACGACCTTAGTCATTTATGTTTATTAACGTAATCTTTTAACCAGGTATGATTTTTATACATATTATATTCAGTGGAATGGCCTCATCGACATCCAGGAACGTCATCCAGCGCCAGAAAATTGACGTGTATTCAAAATAGTAAAAATTTTTAAAATAGAGTAATCTGTAATTGGAATTTACTTTGTTTACATGAAACTTGTTTGTAATCCAACAAATTTTAAAACGTTCATTACTTTTACATAAAACTTTTTTTTTAAAAGTACAATTTGCCACATTGAAGAGCAATAAGTAACGGGGCTAAATGTGTTTATTCATACCACACATACATATAACAGGGAAATAAAAAATAAAAATAAATACATGAATAAATAAAAAATAAATGAGTAAACTAAGAAAAGTAAATATAAAAATAGAATAACAAACATAAAAGGAATAAAAAATAAATCAATAAATAAATATAAGTAAAAATAAAATAAATCATCTTAATATATTCTATATAAAACTATTACAAAAAGGTGGACTACTTGGCAATTACTGATAGTAATGCAAATTTCAGTTACTTCACGTAGTTTTCAAATGAAATAGTGTAATTTTATGGTTGAAGGATAAAACATTTAAAAAAAAAAAAGATAAAACAGTAAAATAAAACATTTTAAAAAATATAGAAAATAGATACACACACAAACACGGAGTTTACATTTTCACACAACTCGACTTTTTACAGAGAACAAATCAAATACAATTTTTATACACAATTAGTTCATGCCTTGAAAATTATTTTGAAGATAAATTAATTTAAAGAAATATTGAATACTTAATAGTTGACCGTTATATTATTAAGGAAGCAGACGGACTGGGGTGTTGGTCGTAAATAGACTAAATAGTGGCAAAACTATTTTATTAAAAGCCAATGTTTCGACCCAACTTTGCAGGTTATCTTCAGAGCTAGAACGGACAAGATACAAAAAGATATAGAGAATTGTGGAATTTACATGTTTAGTTAAAAAATTATAAACAATGAGAATGGACTTATTAAAATTGTAAACAGTAAGTACATTAAAATATTAAGAGCAATAAGTTGTATAATCAGGGTAACAATCTAAGTAATAAGATTCTAAACTGAAGTAAATAGATGGTAACAATTGTAGTATAATATATGATATAATATATGCAATTGTGAATACACTCCTACAGAATTACAGAAGAGATTGAAAGGAAAGGAAAAAGGAAAAGGAAATAATGGACATAAACAGATGTGGAGAAAGAAAAGAAAAAAGAAGAAGGAAAAAAAAAGTAAATTAAACTAAAAGAATAAATATAGAGACTTACAGGTGTGTTCAGCAAGGAATTTCACTTACAACTGGAAAAACAGGGTAAGTATTGGGGGAAATTTGCTGACCTGGTTAGGGAGTGGGGAAAAACCTAGAAAATTATAGTATCTAAAATTTGAAGATATAGATGGGATACAAGAGAAAATACTATATCTATGAAATAAAAAAATATAAATATATACACAAACATTTAAAATATAATTGAGAAATTATAGATAGGAGTACAATGTGAACAAAAACAAAAATGAAGGAAGTAAAACGTACATGGAAGTAAAATATAAATATAAAAATAAGAGACTATACATTGTAAAACTAATTTAGAAGTATAGAGAGGATACAAATATGAATAATTGTAATTATGCTTTGTTGTATATATGTAAGAAAATTACATTTAAATATTAGATAATATTGATATTTATATATTTGTTTATTTAGAAATATTACATTCTGTCACATCAAGGACATTTATAATAGTGATCAGAGAAAGCACACTCACACTCTATTTACAATAAAAAATAAATAAATAAATAAATAATACAGAAACTTAACAATAATAAATACAATAAAATAAAATAAAAATAAATACAATAAAATAAAATAAATGTATATAAACAAAAGAACTAACCTAATCATACACACTCGGGCTTGAGTGGAGGATCTGGCCATTGCCAAAACTCCAATAGATGCTTATTTACAAAAGGTCTCTGGGCCACTGCCGCTTCAGATCCTGATGAACCCAGTGACATTTCGCTGCCTCCCGCTGAGCGTCGACTACATCGTGCCTCCACGAGGTCACTAGTCGACCAGTCTTTACAAGCCGGGCTCCATGAGTCCCATTCCAAGAAATCTGATCGACCAGCTGCGTCAGATTTCAACAAAAGCAACGATGTTCTGTTGGAAATTACAGTTCCTTCAGTAGCATCAGATCCTTATACATTTAGTGACATTTCAGTTGAGTCATCTTCTTTCATTGAAGATAAACAACCTAGGCTCCCTAAGCCTCAATTGAAAACACATGATCGCCCAGCCGCGTCAAGTCATAAAACAGTGAACTACATTACTTCAAGATACTCACACCGGCGAAATAATGCAAAATCGCAATCCATCTTTGAGAAATACTCAAATGAATACAGTTTACCTCCAGCTAGATACATTACTCTGCAGCAAGCTCTACAGCTTCTTAGGGAGATTATATATTTACTTCGGATGGGAGATACTGATGTTATCTTGTTTCCTTCATGTATCCGCCCAGAACTGTTGTGTTATAACCAAGATGGCGGACACATGATCCTCGGATTGCGGCAGTTCTACAATATAAGTTCTACATCTCCTTCAGTAGAACCTGCCTAAGATATAGCTTATTCATTAAATTGTTAGAAACTTCCAACCTAGTTAGAACCAATTGTTTCAAAGAAATCAAATTGTTGGAAAACTTCATTTGTGCCTATGACGCTTTCAGAGCGTTCATTATAGTTCATTATAATCAGAGCACTTTACTCTTCAATTTCACGCAATGTGAAATATTTAGTTTTGGAACCAACATCTTTGCTAAACCATTTTGCAATCCATGATCTATAGTCCATAGTCTCCGGTCTTCCACCTCAGTTTTAATTTCTATTATGGTAGCTCTGTATTTTGCGCAATAAAGGTTCAAGGGCTTTTCCCTTAAAATTTCTTAATTCCTAACACTTAGGAAGTTCCACAGCAACTTATTATTCCACATACCTTTTTGTTCCCATGGTCTTTGCAGGGTGGGCGGTATGTGCAAACTTTTGTTTAGCTATTTAATTAGTAACTCATGTGCTACAGTTTCTTTGTTTGTCGTTTTATATATGGCGCCAAACAGCAAACCTTAATTTACCAAGATACAAGTAATTAAATACCTACCTCAACTCCTTAATAAGTTTTATGGATTAATAATTCTGTAGTATATTTTCTCCCAAACTTCAACAAAACCTAAGATTTGGATAATAAACAGTACTGAATCATCTAAATTCATTTGCTGAGGAGTTGTAATCTGCAATCAGTCAAACCATTTGCTAAAAACAAAGGGTAAATTCAGTGATAGGAAGTAATACATACTATTTTCAGTAAGTTTCTCTATGGAAAGGTTATTAATATCTCAGAAACATTCCTAAAACAGAATTTTGAACAAATTTTAATTATTTATCTCTGAGATGGAAGATCACTCAGAAGATTGTAAACTCCCTTCTAGATCTTTTCTAGTTTGTTTTTTGCTTGGTTAAGAAGTCGTATTTTATTCATTTATATTTTTCTATCTTTTATTCTTTCTTTACGTTAAATGCCTTGTATCTATTCACTTTATCAATTTATTTTAGCAAATATGCATTAATTTTCTTCAATGAACATTTGTTCCTCTTTTTGCTTGATTGAAGCTCACCAAGGTACCATACAGATGTATTTTTCTTTATTTTAAATTATTAAGTATAATTTAGGTGGGCGGTTTGTTTAGGGTTGATCACCCTAAATTGAGGTTATCCCTCCCCCTTCATGGGGTACATGAAGCCAGGTAGGTAACACTGTACGACGGTGGCGCAGTCTGCACAAAACCTAGTAATAGTAGTGGAGAAAAATGGGCGACTGAAACCCACACGAAGTAGACAAGGTACTCTATCCTCTTCAAGACCACATTTCTTGCTGTTCTACCATGGGAAGAGGCATGGAGTAGAACACTGAGACCTACCGGACACATGGAGGTGAGAAGTGGAGCAGCCGGCCAACCACCGTACCTCAGCATCCAGCCACATCAAGTAAACGATCGTAGAACATTTACAAGCCAAACCCCCATCTATATTCAATGTTTAAATGTAATTATACTTCATTAAATACAGTCCACTTGTTCATTCAAATACCCAATCATATGAACCATATCATAATAAAAATGACGGTACATCCCATTTCAACACCATTTATATGCGGACGATCTCGAAATCTACCTTTCCTTCCATCCTAATGAGATGCTTGAGGCGATCCAAAGGCTACAAGAAGATATTGATAGTATTAACACCTGGTCAGCGAGCAATGATTTGAAATTGAATGTTGAGAAGACCAAAGCCATTCTCATTAGATTCAAGCATCATATTAACTTCATTCCTTATTATCCTCTACTTTATCTCAATGGGATACCCATACGTTTCCAAACTTTCGTAAGAAATCTTGGGTAATGTTTGATCAACATCTGTCAATAATCACATTTCTCAAACTATCCGAAAGTCCATTGCTACCCTCAAATTCCTGAGATTCCGTTACTCTATGTCCCTTAAAATCTGTCAGCTCCTAGTTTCCTCTCTCATTTTCCCTCACTAAGATTATGGCTGCCTTACGGTGGACTGTCTGGTGGGCTTGAGATCAGAATAAAGAGGCTAATGAATTGCTTCATCAGATTTATTCTTGGCGTCCCTAGGCGCTCCCACGTCTCCAGTTGCTATGCTGAGCTGAAGTTGCTCTATCCAGTTTTCCGACGGCAATATTTCCTAGGTGTATTCCTTTTCCGAACCTTTACAAACAAAAATCTTCTTACCTTCTTCACTCTTGTTCCTTTGTTGTTCATTCGTTCAACACGAAATCCCGGCCCTCAAATCTTTTTATTTCTTCTCATAGAACTGTTTTCTTTAAAAAATATTTCGTCATACGTGCTACCTCGTGTTGGAATTCTTTACCAACCTCTTTACAAAAATCCTCATCTTTAACCTCATTTAAACACTGTTTATTTTTCCATCTCCTCAGTAATCAATCTTCCGAATATATGTAAAAATAAAGTTATCTTGTACTTTAGAGATGTCAGCTCATTATACTGATGTCTTGTATATATGTGCCATATTGCTTATTTGTACAAATACGTGAACTCACCTGTATGTATTTATCTTTAAATTAATATTTCTACTTCAAGGTCATATATTTACTACAGTGTCTTTTCTTTATTTTAATATGAAATTTGGACAATTTTGTGAATTAATTTATTTTTAATCGTCATTTAATTATTCATGATTGCCAGACCATAGTCATTTCGTTGTCCATTACAGTTATCTCTCTTTCTTCCTTCCTCTTACTTATCCACCCAGCCATTCTCGAACATGTAGGCCCCTAGGTATTTGAAATCGCTTACCTGTTCCATCGGGGTTCCGTACAGTCTAATGACAAGATTCTCCTAGTAGGTTCTTCTTCCGACATGCTTAATTTAATTCTTTGACACATTTATCTCCATATTAATTTCTCTTAGTTAATACCTCAGAACCCGCAGGTTTCATTGATGCCAAAAACTACCAGGTCATCCGCATAGGGTAGGTCGGCATAGTGAACTGGTTGGTTCTGTAGCCAAATTTAATTTTTTTCATTTCCTATTGAGCTTTTCTTTGGGTCTGAAGCCATACTGTCCCTCCATTAACAAGGACTCGAAAGTTCCTTAAAACTTATTTTCTAGTATTCTTGCATATGTTTTTGAAGTATAAAAATATATATTATTAATTTCATACTTTTATCAACACACAATGGCGAATAAACATTGAGCTGTACTCTTCATTAAAGGAACTGGGCGTTGTTGAAATAAAAAAGCTATGCAGGCAACAAATGAGCAGGTTATATAGTTTCTAGTTGGGCCCATATAAGTATTGTCACATTCTGGCTGAAATTTTCTACATGCATAAAACATGAGAAGGGGATGTAAATAATTGAATCTCAGATAAAAAAATATTCTAGCTTCCTGCTTAAATAAAACAATCACTGATTTATAAATGAGAAATCTTAATCAAACAATTTCAATATTGTGCAGGTTAAAGTGTGATGGTTCAATACGAATCGTAGCTTCTAGGTATAAGGACCTCGAATCATCAGGATGAGTGTTATGGCCAATTTGGAAGGCACAAATTTATCTTATCTTATAAACGTTTTACGAGAATCAAATCTAACGAAAGATAACTACATCAAATTAATTGTTTAAATAAACGAAAATACGATATTGCACAAGGAAAGAGCATTTATTATTACGTATATCACGGATCGATGTCTAAGTGCTCAGTTCAGTATAGCCTACGAAATGAATCGGTGGTCAGTCTTATTAACTTTTCTCTGTAGTATTAGTGGCTATGTTTCTTATGCTCTTCTCAATCCATACCCAGAAATTAGATCTACGCCATTCAATGGAGACGCAGGAGAACCACTCTTCCTGACTCCCTACATCGAAGGAGGTAAGATACAAGAAGGACAGGCGGCCGCAGAGGTAAAACTGCCGGGCACCAACGTCATCAGCTACAGTGGCTACCTCACCGTCAATAAGACCTTCAATTCAAATCTCTTCTTCTGGTTCTTCCCATCTGAAAAAGACCCCAAGAACGCACCAGTAGTCCTTTGGTTACAGGGAGGACCCGGAGGCTCTTCTCTCTTCGGACTCTTCTGTGAAAATGGTCCATTCTTCGTCGATAAAAACATAACCTTGAAAGAACGGCAATACTCCTGGTCTCGATTGTTCAACGTAATCTATATCGATAACCCGGTCGGGACTGGATTCAGCTTCACTGATAATGATGCTGGGTATGCGACTGACCAAGTCAAGGTAGGGAATGATCTTTATTCTGCTTTGTTACAGTTCTTTCAGTTGTTTCCGCATTTACAAAAGAACGAATTCTACATAAGTGGTGAGTCCTACGCTGGAAAGTTTGTCCCCGCAATCGGTTATACGATCCACAACAACAACAAAATAAACAAACAAAATATTAACCTGAAAGGTTTAGCAATTGGTAATGGGTTTACTGATCCAGAGAATATGATGGTCTATTCAGATTTTCTCTTTCAGCTTGGATTAGTTGATTCTAATACCAGAGACATGTTTAAACAAAAAGAAGCTAAAACAGTAGAACATATCAAACAACAACGGTATAGTGAGGCTTTAGGCACATATTTAGAAATTTTTGGTTCACTTAGCCCTGGTATAAACGCATATAACTATGTTCAAATCGGTTCCTTTATTCCAAGAGAATTTTTAGTATATCTGCAGACAGGCGTAGTGAGGAAAAGCATACATGTCGGAAGCCGCATATACCATAACGATTCTAAAGTTAAAAAGTTTCTTAGTCATGACATCATGCGATCAGTCAAGCCGTGGGTCGAAGTATTATTAGATCATTACAGAGTAATGTTTTATAACGGCCAGTTGGATATATCCGTGGCATATCCACTGACAGCGAACTTTTTACCCAAACTGAATTGGACCGGCTCTGAGGAGTACAGAACTGCACCTAGGAAGGAATGGAAGGTAGAAGGCGAACTGGCTGGGTTCTACAAGATATCCAAAGGGTTGACTGAAGTTCTGGTGAGGAATGCAGGGCACATGGTTCCTATGGATCAACCGAAGTGGGCTTTTGATCTAATAACCCGATTCGTTCACAATCAATTCGTTACATCAAATGCATCGGTTGTAAGCCTCTCTTACTGTCTATTCCTCTCTATGCTGTACTTTTCCTTCTATTACATTTCATAACTCTTTCAGAAGTCTTAGAGTCATCCATCGATGGAATTACCTCTGTGTGTATGTGTGTGAGGAATTTGTTAGGATCTCACCGATGGATCAGATAAACATGTCACTACCAGTTCTTCTTTAAATCTTTTCCAAACCTTAACAATCAGTTATAACAATATATACCTTAATTAGCACTTGTTCCAATGTATTGTTGTTTATTGAGTTTTATCTTATAAATTATAGAGTTTTTTTCACGTAAATATTATAACTAGTTCAATGTAAATTTAACAATAAAAGTTAGATATAATTACATGTTTTTTTCCCTGAATATACCTCTTCCAATGGTGAAGAAATAGTTGACTTTATCTGCAGTTAATTATTTCTTAGACGTTGTGGTGTGCAGTCACAGTGAGAAACGTAAATAAGAATAAACTATTTTTATTCTATTTTAAGAAAAAAAAGTAAGATAACAAAAAAATATTAAGAACTATTACAAAAAAATATAAAAATAAATTATATGCTACAGTGAATAAATAAATTCTAAGAAGTGAATAAAAAATCACGTTGTTTAATTAACTATTTTTTTAAAAAATTGATAAAACCTCTGAAAAACTACAATAAAAGATTAACTTGATTGTAGATGATTGATGGTTAACTGTAGAGAATAATTAAAGAGAAGGATGGTTGGGATGACCAGTCAAAATAAAAATAGTAAAAATAAATAATAATATTTATTTATTTTGACTGATCACCCCAATCGTCCTTCTTTACAATAAAACATTAAAATATATAAGTATGACAAAAGGATTAAACATTTATTAGAATGAACCTCCAAATTTAATTTAATAATAATTAAGTTTTTATATTATAAAACCTATATTCATATATCATATAGACAGATAGATGGATAGATAGAAAGAAAGAAAGCTTTAGCTTTATTTCATATTTATTTTATATATCCTTTTTTTTTTTTAATAACAATACTTTTTTTTTGGCAATGGTCTAGTCTGCCTGGAGTTACCCTAAGAATACATACAATTAAAAGAAATAATAATAATAAAATAAATAAAAACAATCAACTTTGGAAACATTAAACAGTCCTTTGTTATTTGAAACAATATAAAACCACTTAAAACTACCTGATATATATAATCTAAATAAACTTTAATTTGTCAAATAATGGGAAATAAATAATTTTTGTTGCATAACCTTAATCTTATACTTGCTTTTGTTTACATATAGCTAAAGAATGTGATGTGTTGTATTGCTGAATCAAAAACATCCTATATTTATAAGCGTATATATGATACATATGAAAATTGCTCCAATCTTTTCCAATGAGTATGTTTATAAGTTCATTGCGGTTTATGACCCCTTTCTTAAAGTATTTGATTCGATATTCCTGTAAAATCGGACAAACTATTGACTTTATCTGTAGTTAATTATTTCTTTGACGTTGTGGTCTGCAGTCACAGTGAGAAACGTAAATAAAAATAAACCATTTTTATTCTATTTTAAGAAAAAAATAAAATAACAAAAAAATTATAAAAACTATTATAAAAACAAAATATATGGGACTGCAAATAAATAAATTTTAAGAAGTGAATACAAAATTACGTTGTGTAAGATAAATTAAAAACGCTGCAAATTATTTCACAATGGCTTATTATCTCCAAACGATTATACATCTAAAGTAACGTTACCTTCCCAGTTACAAAGAAAACAAAACAAAAGGTGATTCCAATTATTGGACTAAACTGTTTTCCTTTAATCATTAGTAATATGCTAAAAAAAAATAGCATTAGTTCAATAACACATTTAAGATTTAAAAACCAAATCAAGGATATCACATTTGGAGTAGAACATATTAACAAAAACCGAAAACCATATCTTTGCGCCTAATTGTCCGATTTTAACGATTTTTTTTTTGTTTTTTTTAGGAAATTTCGTAAACTTTTAAAAAACTATAATAATTGTTATATATCAACAAAAAAGTAAAAACTTTTCGAGTTATTCGGAATTTAAATTTAAATTTGTAACTTTTTTTCCAGCTTCTTTTCGTTTAAGTATGTTATATAGATAAATTTAAAGGGCGTCGAGAAAATGACTTTAGCGAAGTTTCATTGAAATCTGTACATTCGTTTAGGAGCTACAGTCTATAGCAACGCAAGTTTTTCGGCCGCCATTTTGAAAGTTAAAGGCGGATAATAATGCCGATGAAGGAGGATCATCTTCGGGTGACCTCTGATTTTATATCAAAATTTGAAAAAAAATCGGTCCAGTTGTTTCGGAGAAAATGCGCGGACGGCGGACGGCTGACGGACAAAAAAATTTTTATTCGTTTTTCGAATTCTACGCGTCTTGAAACGTGAAATCTCAAATTTTGAGAGGGGGTTATGTTTTTGAATTTTTTGGTCGATCACAATGTTTCATTATTGAAAATAATAAACCAATATTTAAAAAAAATATTAAAACCTCTGAAAAACGACAATAAAACATTAAAATATATAAGTATTACAAAAGGATTAAACATTTATTAGAATAAACCTTCAATTTTAATTTAATAATAATAAGGTTTTTATATTATAAAACTTATATTCGTATATCATATATGTTATTTCCCAATATCGTAATGAATTTTGATGAATGAGCTGCCAAAAGAAAGGAAATATCACGTAGAATGTACGAAATGTAATTTTGATTCTCAATTTTGTACTAGGATTGAAATAAAAGTGAATTTTACTGTGATGGGTTTCAAACCATAAACAGTGATGTGCCAAGTCAACGAACCTAGGCGTTATGATGAATTCATAATTTAAGAATAACTCGAAAGCTTAAGTGTAACTTACCTTAAAGCTGGAGTGTAAGTACAATGGTGAAATTAAAGAATTTGTGCCCACCGAAGGAGCAACGTGGGTTTAAATTTATGATAATCATATATATATATATATAAAATCATATATGCTGAGAAAAGTTAAGAACGTAGGATGAGGTAACTTCGGGACACTTTTCAAAGTTTTAAGCTGCCTCTATCTTTATTTTCAAAGTTAAAATGTTGAAAAAATTATTAATATTTAAAGTCGCTATTCCACTTACAAAATGTTGCAGAACAATATCTCAAGAAACAAGAATATTTCACTAAAAAAAATTCAAAGTTGTCCTAATGTTACCCCATTGATTGGGGTAAAATTGGGACAGTGCGTTATCTCCATTAGAAACGGCAGGAAACTTGATTTTGTACCAATGTATTGTATAGGCTCATTAATTAGAATAGAATAGAAAATAATTTTACTCTGGTACAAAGTCCCTTTAGAATAACGAAAAAGTACAAAATTAAAATATTATATCTGACCTAGATAAAAACAAATACAAAAATTAAAAAGAAAGAGAAATAAGTATAGAAAACAGTTAAAAACGAATATACACTTTTAGAAAAAAGGAAAAAAAAAAAACACTACATTCTTCTTAGAAATAAACTCTGTATTTTTAAATAAAAAAATTATATGCAAATACATCATTATGAATAATATGTAATTTTACATAAAAGGTTAGTGGGTATCTGACTGTTTTTGGGACAGTTTTAATGTAGATAGGGAGGGGGAATGTCGAAGTTTGGTAGAAAGGGAATTCCAGAAATTGACAAAGCGAGCAATAAAGGAGTTTTGGAATGATGCAGATTTGTGAGAAGGGATCTAAAGGTCGGAAGGTCGAGATCTTGTGGAAAGGGAACGGACTGAGGATTTGAATCGGAAAAGGTTGTAGGCGTAAGAAGGACAATGATTGTTGATGATTTGATAGAGGAACATACTTCTAAGAAATATTGTCTTCGAATGGAAGGGATGAACTTTAACTCAGTTTAGTGGTGAGAGACATGGGAGTATCTCGGGGTACCAATTGCAAATCTTACGCAGCTGTTCATAAGTCTTTTTAGTCTGTTACGGAGCTCCACCGAAAGGAAATCATACACCACACAGCTGTAGTCAAAGTGGGGGTAGATGAAAGAAGAAACTAGGAGTCTACGCGTATGTTTAGGTAGGAGATGGCGGAGGTGGTGGTATAGTTTGAGGGTATAAATTGCTCATCGAGAGATGTGAGAAATATGGTGATTCCAGGAAAGTTTGATCAATGAAAAATCCTACATTTTTAACAGAGGAGTAGGAGATCGGCTGGTCATTAATGTTTAGTATGGGATAGTCGGTTTAGGATATAAGAAGGGGATCGGAACCATTTACAATAGCCTTAGTTTTGGCAGCATTTAACCTTTATATGTTTACATTTGCCCAGGCACCGATTCGATCTAGGTCTTCTTGAATCTTGGAAAATGGTACCAACCATTCAGGGGGAGAAAAGGATAGGTAGATTTGAGAATCGTCTGCATAAAGGTGATGGGAACAATAGAGAATTGAATCACGTAGGTCGTTAATGTAGAAACTGAAAAGGAGAGGAGATAAGCTTGATCCCTGGGCGACTCCAGATGATAAAGAAAGCTAGTCAGATAGCAGTCAGGGAACGAAAACTGCTTGGGTTTTCGTTATTCCCATAAGAAACAATAAAGAAAAACAACAAGAGTCTGTACCAATTTTACCCAACCATACTATATTTAAGAGAACATAACAACAATAAATTCGTGTTAATGGAACAAAAAGCTGAAATTCCAAGGAAAACATAACCTCGTATATGGGGCTACACTGTTTTCAACGGAAGAAGAGCCATGCCAAATTACGGATTTCCAGTCAACACCTTTGATTTACGGTGTGTTGTAAAATCGTATCTAGACAGAGTTGGAAGAATAGAAACTCGCTTCAAAAATAACTTATCGGAAAATGATTGTGCAGGTTCGTTTATGAAGGGTCACATAGCTTTTTGTTCCATTAACACGAATTTATTGTTGTTA